CCTAGCCAGCAACTCAGAACCACACAGCCACTTGCTCACTCACCCTCTTCTTCCTCCCCCTGCTCCCGGAGGGATGGGGAGGAGAATCAGAGGAATGTAACTCCCACAGGTTGAGATAAGAGCAGTTCAGTAACTAAGGTATAATACAAACCACTACTGCTACCAATAATAATGATAAGAGGAATAACAAGGGGAGAGGACACAACCGCTCACCACCCGCCGACTGATACCCAGCCCGACCCGAGCAGCGATCTGGGCCTCCCGGGTAACTCCCCCCACTTTCTATACTGGGCATGACGTGCTGTGGTATGGAATAGCCCTTTGGCCAGTTTGGGTCAGGTGTCCTGCCTCTGCTTCCTCCCGGCTTCCCCTCCTCCTTGGCAGAGCATGAGACTGAGAAAGTCCTTGGTCAGAGTAACATTACTGAGCAACAACTAAAAACATGAGTGTTATCAGCGTTGTTACCAGGCTGAAAGTCAAAAACACAGCACTGCACCAACTACTAAGAAGGAGAAAAGATGACTGCTCTAGCTGAAGCCAGGACAAGGACTAAAGCTTACAGTCATGTCAAAAAAAGTCATGTTTTCACTGAAAAATCCTTCCATGTCACTCAGCAACATCCAGCATCATAATTTTAGGTTTCAAAGTTATTTACTGCCACAGTAAACTACTTTAAAAGCCTAAAATTGTTTGAAAACTGCTAGAGTAAAAGTATGAGTTCACATTTTCAAAGTTAATGGGAAAAAACTGGCTCAGTAGTGAAGAATAAATAAGGTAACAAACGTGACAGATTTTAGCAGAGGTGAAACTGATAGGAGTCTGCAGAAATGAGTTGAAGCATTCCCTCAGGCTTTTTTTGTATTTATAATGTAGTATTTTCATGGCAATGGAAAATTTGAGTATTCTTTGTGCAACATCATTCTATAGCAATAAGACTAAATTTTACAGAATAATTCTGATCAGTTAAAAAAAAAAAAAAAGGCAGAATTCTTTATATGAGACATACAAGATGCTCCAGGAAAATAAAACAAAATAACTTGTTTCACATAATCACATCTATCATGATTTGTGACAGACATTCAGCTTTATACTTGTAAGATAAAGAAGATCTTCACTCACCAATGCCTCTCCCATTTCTGCTGGGGAAGACAACTTTTAGCTGATGTTTAGTGCATTTCAGTTTTCACACAAGCCTTTTGGAGTAACCCCTACCATGTTCCAAATCATGTAAAATCCCATTAAATGTAAAACTATAGCTACTGGCCCTACAGGAAACTGCAGTGCTGAGCAATACTTCCTACTCATAATGGGCAAATGCGTCATTCAGGTATATAAATTAAAAGCAGGTTTTTTATTTTTTAGAATAAGGGTTTTCCCTCTTTTTTTTTTTTTTTTAGTTTTTTGTAGACGAGTTACTTCTGCATGGTTGGTCCTATTTTCAAGACTAAGAAATTTCAACTTGTATTTTTTGCACACACTAACAAAAAGCATCAAAGGCTCAGTTCTCTAAGTTGCAAAGGCTTCCTCTGTGTGAGTCCAGAGCTCTCCCATCCCATACTTACCGGTGAACAAGGCTGAGGGCTAAAGGCCTCATACCTCTGTTTGTACTAGTCATAGGAATAAATCCACCCTGACATGTACCAGAGCAGAACTGTAAGAGTAGGTAGGCTCAGTTCTCAGCTTGAACTGCCTTAAACCCCTAAAAGAAGGTGGCTTTGTGCAATCTACTAGCTTACCTGCGTAGGCAGTCACACTGTGCCCTGCCACTTCTTAATTAACTAGTCCAGACATAGCCTCTGTGTCTTTCAGACCAGTTTAAAAGCAATCATATTGCTTTTCCACTTCTTGTATGTTTTGTTTCTTTGGTTATGCTGGGCCAGATTTACTGTGAAGCATTTGTGTGTGTGTAGTAGATCCCCATCACAGATGATATTTTAACAGTTCCCCTGACACAAATCATATTTCTCAACCGTCAACATACATTTATTAGATTCATAACCTTGTTGCACAGTAAACATCTGTGTCAAGCAAGTGGCAAATCTCCAGAACTTCAGAGTTTAGATTTTCTTTGGAAAAGTATTCAAAACATGGATGCTTATCTACAGTACGCACAGATTATTTGAGACCTTGGAAGCTGAAAAAACAGGCTGGAAATTTTATGAGATTGTAGCTTCTTACAACATTTCCGATCTTAGCAATGGATTATAGCACTGCCTGGAAGTGGACTACAAAAGGAAACAAAAAAAAAAGAAAAAAAAACTGCAAGAAAAACACAATGGTTTAAATTCTGCCAGTTACCTGTCATTTAATTTCAAGATCCAGGATCATAAAGTGGTTTCCTTTGCAATGCTAAAGAATTACCTGAGCTGAGCACTGTTGCTGTGAACAAAACTTGAATTAAGAAACGAAAGCACGAATATTTAAAGCAAATTATCCCTTTGTAATTTTAGTATTTAAGTGTTCAGAATCAAACAGATGAGACAAATGTTAAGAAGAAGTGAGGACAAGAAGAGATAGTCAATCTAAATTTGGCTTTCTCGGGAAAAAAAGACAGGGAAAGCAGCCATCTGTCTGGTGGTGTTTCAAACTCCCCTATGGATGTAAAAAGAAATCATAGCTCTCAATATATAAACAAAAAAAAATTATATAAATTCTCTATAAAAAATATAGAAAATTCAATATATAAACAGAAAAAAATATCAAGAAATTGACTCAATTATTCCAAAAAGTTATTGACAGAAACTGTCAGTGTTTAGATTTCTAGCTCTATTAGCTGACTGAACTGAACAAGAACTTGGTCACCATGTTTTCAACTAATTAAAATGGTACATAGAAGTATGTAATTTTCATACAAGATTTTTTTGAACAGGGATTTTTACCTGTGAAGAAGATAGAGCAAGATAGACACAGACTTAAGATTGCCCTTTCTGATCAATGATGGATGAGTATCAGACAGTTTTAAAGTTGTGAATCCTATACTAGGAATTATTTCTCTTCTCCCTCCATAATTTCTGCATGCAAATATGCATGTTTCTTTCCCTTTTTCTTGCATTAGCAACCTCAAAACTTGCTTTAAAACCAATGTTTTAATGGAGTAAAGTCTGGTTTTTTTAGGGGGCATATGAACACTTCCAAAAGGATTTGCTTTCCAGTATGGAATGAAAGCAAATTCTTAAACCTTGAAATTTGCCCTAAAACCATCACTTTTTGGTTAGCCCTACTAAAACAACCTTCTACTCTTTCCTCAAATATCACCTGCAACAACAAATTTTACCACTCAAAAGCAACTTACTCAAAAGAGGTCTTAATCTGAGGACTTCCTTAGCTCTTTCAGAAGAATGTTTGATGGGACTATCAAAAGTAGCTCTAGCAGTGCTAAAACTGAGACTGCAGCTAGGCCAACAAATCATCTTTTTATTCTCTAAAGCTTGTTTTTACAGCTTGAAATATTTCTGATGATTGAGCCATGGGTAGGAAAAAAGACACTGGTCACTTCAAAATTTAAGAATGCTTTGATTGAATAAGAAATACTATGAAAGAGCACTGGTCTCTTGCTGGTATTGACCAAGTATATTATTGGCAATCGTTTGTCTATTGCAATCAAATGAAAAAAATCTTTAAATACTAGAGTGATGTTTGCCTTCATTTAATTGAAAAGTTAAAAACATCTGACTGATGACGGCATGATGTATACCTGCTATTAGCAACACTTAGGCTGCTTACAGTGTCTAATTCCAAGTCTGCAATTGTATTGACACACTATCAATAAACAGCAAAAGAGCATTTCTCCAAATATTAGTTGTTTACTGAAGAAAAATTTGCCAGCATCACCAAGGACACCTTCAGTGAGGCAATTCAATGTATCTTTGTAGAAAAAATTTCTTGCAGATGACATTGTCAGTATGGCAAGAGGAAAAAGCAATAGAGAAAAACAGTCAAACTAATTTCCGTAGAAGTGTATAATGCTCTAACGTATAAAATGAACAAATCCAAAGTGCACAATAATTCTGTCTGTCGTTCATGAGTCTAACAAAAGCTTTGGCTCAGGTAGCTTCATTATGTTATCCTTGTTCACAAAAGTAAATAAATCCATCAGCTAATACAATGGCTTATTATGAAAGGGCTGAAGAATAAGCATAGTGTTTCATCTAGGCAGATGAGACAGAATGTCTCTTTGAAGCGGTCTTGATGCTTCAGAGGTTTGCTGGAGCTGGAGAGAGACGATGTGGAAAATTGCCTCCTAGAGGTTGAATCTGTGTGGTCCCTAGTGTTTTCTCTCAACCCATCCCCCCCTTTTTTTGGACAGAAAGGGAAAGTAAATCTTTATGACCACTGCTATTCTTACATTTTAGAAAGAAGATCATTGTGCTGCGAATAACCCTACACTTCGGTAAGGAACTGTGTTCTCTAGCATCAGGCTACTCTAAAAGTGAATATAGTTAACTGTGAATACTTTACAAGTACTGGATATGATGTGCTAGGACTGCATGTCACACAGTTTTTCCAAACAGAGATCAGAAGTAAAAGAGTGGATTATGTAGGCAAAAATGGTTTGTGAGGGCTCTAAGTATTACAAACCTTTTTACTTTTTTTTTCCCTTTTTCTTTTCCCCTCACTAACTAAATGGTTGCAGTTAGAAAACACAAGACTGAATCTAAGTAACTCAAAATACCAAACTGCAATATACAAAAAATCTCTGCAGATACCAACCTTAATAGTTACTCTGAGCCTGCCAATAACAATGGTCCTTCAGAAGAAGGACCTAAACTTGAAATTTCCTTAAAAGGGACATTTTATACTGTAAAGAGGTGCGGAAGTCATATTTTTTCTGATTGGTAAAGAGCAATTTATGTAGAATCAACAGGATGGATTTCAACTTACTTGCTTTTAGAAAACTTTTCAAGTACAGCACTCCTAGTTATCAATATACAAACATTTTCAAAAATTATTTTAAGTCTATTATTTTTCATTATGGTCAAGAGAAACTTTGATTTGCTCACCTTTGCAGTTGCCCCGATAGGCTATTTCCAGCTGAGGGTCTTTGCATTTTGCTCGCTGAAATTCACACCGGGACAGGAAAGTTCTTCCATCAGATGCACAGAGTGATTTCTGAGGGGAACCTGCACAGTCCAGGCTGCATTCTCTGTCTTTGTCTTGGTCCACTCTCAAAAACTAGTTAAAAAAAAAAAAAAAAAAAAAAAGCTGTAGGAATTCTATTCCCATGTGAAAAGTGCTCTGTGATCACCTTCCCCAAGGAAGACATACAAATATTACCCCAAAACTGAAATGAAAGCTCGGCCTTTTTAGCGTGTTCGAATACTAGCTAGTTCATATCTGTGATTATTCAGCTGCTGCTTTGAAATGGTAGAGATTGCAATCTTTCTCTAACATGTACTAAAACCACTATTGCAGTTAGAAAATTCCTGAATCTTCTTCACCCATTATGAAGCTGGAAACAGCAGGTTGGAGTCTTTAGAGCAAAAATGGTGATGGCAGAACATTCTTCACAACAAAAATGAGAGCAATGGAAACTTGACTATTTTATTACTTATGCATTAACAAGTATACAATAACAAGATAAAAAATCTGTTCTAAGATCCAAATAGGATTTTGGACATCATTACTCACTTAAAACTATACCCATAATGTCTCCAGTGGCCTCAGTACAAAAGTTCTGAAGAGCAAATGAGCAAGGCAGGAGAATCTTATGAAGCACCTTGTGAAAGGCAACAGATCATTTATTTTTGCAATGCTTATATTTAAAATCTAAAGACTCCTCTACAAAACAGAGATTTCAGATATGTTTTATAGAAATATTTGTACTTGTGCATATGCTTGTCTGTAAAAATACATGCCAAGATTGAAGAGGGGAATGTTATAAGCTTGCAGTTTTTCCTGTGAGACCATTCTTACAACATGCAGGATGGAGTCCTGTATGTGGGTCTCAACAACCACAAAGCTACAGGCTTTGGGAAGAGCAGCTGGAAAGCTGCCTGGCAAAAAAGGTCATGGTGTGCTGGTCAACAGCCACCTGAACGTGATCCAGCATGTACCCAGGTGGCCAAGAACTGGCCTTCTCGTATCAGAAATAGTGTTCTCCCTTTCTCAGAGATTCCATTTCCTTATTTCAGAAGCCAGTGAGTGGGTATAGGATGACAGAAGTAATTTGTTGCCATCAAAAGATGCTCCCCTTTCTAATTCTGCCATGAAGCCAGACTGAACTTGCTCTGTTTATCTCTCCACCCCCAGGTCTGCAGGCAAGGCTCATGATTTTGGCATCATCCTTGCCACTGTGAAAAGCAGGAGCTAGTCACCCTGAAACATGCTGCCAAAAGCATTATCAGTTCTGATGCTGCTGCTTGCCAGCCAAAAACAAAGATAGTACTTTGTCTTCCGAGTTCCTGAAAGTGGGGATTAGGGAGGAGGCGAACTCAAGTCCTCAGATGAATTTCTCTATCGTTTTACTGTGTCTTAATAAACACAAAATTAAGCAAAGTATATAGCTTATATCAGGAGATAATAACTCTCCTAGACATTAGAAGGTACCTAAGAAAAGGTCGTCATCCAGTTGAAGCATGTGTTTCATTGCGGCTGTTCACTATCATAAACCTCAGCTGGAGAAAATTTTGAACTTCAGATTAGAAAGTGAAACTACTAGGAGGAGAATTTCAAGCAAAAAAAGAGGACAAAGGCAGTATTTGAGCAGGAAAGAGTAGTATAAGCTAAAAAATTCAGAAAACATTTGCTACATATAGTTTCCCTGCATGTTACTAGTGGGGGGCAAAAAAAAAATTAGAGAGAGAGAGGCATAAACCTCTGTAATCTTCATACTTAAACTGTGGTCTATTTGCATTTCCTGTGACTTAACGTGAGACAATACAGATGTCTTTCTGGAAAGCATGCCTAAAAATGGAGAGACAATCTCAAAGGTATCACTTTAAAATAATAGTCATATGGTTGGATTTTGACCAGAATTTTTATATTTTACTGGCACAGTAACATAAAAAGGAAAGTTTCCTTTTCCTGACATATTTATTAATTTGTTATTTCTAACAATAATTAGTTTCAGAAGCAAATAACTCACAAATTACTCAAATTACACACAAACCCCACAACTTTCATCCTGGCATTTAGCTATACAGCTCCAAAAGAGATGTTCCTTCCCCCCTCCCCCCCCATTTTGGTGCTATTTTTCAGATCTTTTTTGCTGCCAGAAATCAATAAATAGCTGAGCTGAGTGAGGAGAGAGAAAAACTTAAGTCATCTTCTTTTACCTGCAAAATGAGCAACAGGGAAGACAGGCTTCAATGACTGTGACCAATCTCCACATTATGTTGGTCTCCAGGGCATGCTAGGGTGCCCTGATGAGCTGCAGTGTGGGGGGCCCCAGTGAGGTCCTCCAAGCCTCCCTTTCTTGTTTTGGAGGCATCCGCAGGAGTCAGGATTTAGACTATGAAAAGTACTTTTCAAGTTAAAATAGACCACATGAGGCCTCTGGCAATGAAATGGATCCAGTCCCCTGTTCTGCCTTAGATCTGCCCCATGGATTTGGTGATGGCATGTCAAGTGATCTCCCTCTTCCTATCTTGTGAAGTAAGGATCTGAGTACAGCCTTTCTGCATGTATAAGACTACCCTCTGTAATGGCTAGGCGCTTTGCCACCCTTAATTTATCCTCAGCAACATCCCTGTTGAGCAGGTAATTATTTTTCAAAAGTACAGAAAGGCTTCATGACCCACAGAAAATCAAGTGGTAGATCGGAGAACTGAACCCAGGCATGAGGTGGGGGGAGAATCACACATAGCAACAGTCTACTCTCTGTCCCATTTTTCTCCCAGACTTTCTTCATCTTTTCCGTTTGGAGTTCTTCCTTGAGTTAAGATGGGTATGCCTGCTCACAGAGGACAAACCACAGTAACACAGTGGACAGAAAATCCCCTTAATCATCTGAGGAACAAAATCCACTCTCTTGAGAGTGTAATAGTTCACAGATAAAGCTATATTTTAAAGGGCATTTATCCAAAGAGTTTTATTTAAGTATTTTATTATTTCAAAGCCTTAGAGGAGATTAGGGTAAATTATGGGTTCAAGGATATTCAAGCAACCTGGAAAAGCAGAGGATGAAGACATACCCAGGAGACAAAACCACTTAAATAGCTTGTTGGTTAGCCAAACCTCACTGGAGAATTTGGGTTGTACATTTAAACAATTTCCACCAACCTAGCGTAACTGAGGAATTTAAGAGCAGGAAGGACAAAAAGGCAAGAAACTGCAAGAAAAGACAGCATACAAGATTGACTAGCAAATGTATTTATAAAATAAAGATAGAAAGTATGTAGCCAAAGGAATTTATAAATGTCAAAACTAATAGAAATGTTGAAACAAGCTAGGGCTAAGGGATTTCTCACACGATCTGCCATTTGTTTAAACAGGAACAAGCCGAGTCAGTGACACTAGCATGATACTGATGCACATCTTAGAGCTGTACTTTCCTGTGAAAATACTCCTTTTGATTAAAATAGGACAGTTTAGAGAGAAAGGTGGTTCTAGATGGACCAGAAGGTGACTAAACCTGAAACTGGCTCATCTGTTTGTGCCATTAAGTTCATTTAACAAACAAATCTGTTATTGTATAAACATGTGATTCACTGAAAGTCAAGTTTAAAGCAGCATTTCTGTTGAATGCTGGTAGCAACTGATATTAAGCCAACAAAAATTGACCAACCTGAGGTGGAACTATTTTGAACAACCACCAAAAACTGGACAATTATGGTTAAACCCTATTAAAAAGCAAACTTAACAAAGAGGTGTTCCTGCCCCTAATAACATAGAAACCAGCCTAGTCAAGTTTCAGAAAATTGTTTTCAACTACAAATTGAAGCTTATGCTACAGATTAGCAGGCACAACTCCTCAGTTGGAATTGCTTTAACTTATCTTCTGCTTTACAATTTAACATAATAAAAAATTTTTACAGCTTCCAATTTATTTCAGCATTTCCAGAGCATTATACTGTACAATACCCGATTTCCAAGAGGCCTACTATTCCATACTAGGCACTGCTTTAAATTCTCATGTACTACTTGTGAGAAGAAAGAATAATGGAACTGAATCAGAAAAGTTCTTTATTATTAAGTTTACCTCGGTTAGTAAAACCAAAGTCACTGTAAGTTGCACGCATCCACTTGACAGACACAAGCACTGATAAAATATTATTTACTGTCATATGTTTCAGGTATCATGGAATTACAGTATTTTCTTTCACTGTCTCACACAACAAAAACTCTTAACACTGGTTGAAATGTGTCCCTCTATGTCGCAGGCTGTCCCAGTGATCTTTCATCCCTCTGTACTGGAGTTTGGTAACACTAAAATTGTCAGTGGGAAGCATCATACACCTGAAACTTTGCTTATACTGGAGAAAACTATTTCTACTGTTTTCTGTTCTCTGCTATGTTTTATCTTTCAGCTTCATTTTTGCCCCTGATGCCACATCTGGGCTGAGGACAGTCAGGATGCAAGAGTTTTCCCAGTACTTCAAGAGTAGGTATTCGATGATTTCTTTACTGTGCTATTAAACCATTTATCAAGATAACATGCCCATAAACTTCTTCACTGCTATAGCATAACACACATCTTCTTTACCTTATACTATCCACTCTTACGCAAGGTTTTGATGTATTCCCTCTGGTTTACATCCTGCCACCACATCACCATTAGGGCAGAAAAGGCTTTCAGAAGAAAACAAGTCACATGCACATTTGTGCATTTACAGTGCACAAATCTGTGATCCCATCATCTATAGTGCAGAGCAACTCTCCTTCCACCTAAGCAAATCACAGGGTATACTGGGAGAAAAACGGTTTATGACTAGACAGTCAACAACTGGATACATCTACAAGCCAGAAAGCCAGTGCAAGAAAGCAGAAGAGTTGAGACCAGTGTCACAATCTGGTCATGGGGAACACAGACATCTCACTCCATTGGAGGAAAAGCTGGCAACAGATGCACTTAGGCTGAGGCATAAAGATTAGTTATTGAATCTGGCTCACAGCCTTTTAAACAGTAATGGGAAATGCTCTACTCTACATTTCATAATGCAGTACACAGCTATGGATTGTCTTTGGTCAGAGGCCACTGTCTGATTAATCTGAGCAAGGCAGAGGAGTGATCC